TGCTCACTCATAAAATGCCGCTCTTTGATCAATTGTTCTCCTTGTGCTTCAACAGCCACTAGTCGTTTTTCATTCTCCGTCAGCTCGAGAATCAAATGCAAGATGTTTTTGGAGTTTAGCACGAAGGTTGGTAGGATCGAGATACGATTCATCATAAGCAAGCTGTAATACAGGAAGACTATTCCTACCATTGTCAAGACGATCGTAAGTAAATTCTAACCTGCAACTTGGCATTGATCCATGTAATCAACTCGCCACAGGTTCTTATGAACTCATGGTACTTCTTGCTATCGCAGAGGAGTCCACGACGTTTCGATGCCCGACTCAAAGCATTTGCGCATGGCGCTGCATGACTTCTTCGCACCTGAAGTATTACTCTACTTCACAGAGCCCTACGACCCTACAGTTCAGAACCAACCTTGCTTCAACATCTCCTCCCGTTTACCTCCGTTATCACTGAGATTAGCTTGCCAGCATCGCTTTCAACGTTGTCAAGATTCCTCTCTCGCTCTGCTTTCTTCACCGTTCTTCAAAAGGCATCCATGGACGTGATCAACATCTGAAAAAACCAGTCATGTTTAATAACACAAGCTTTGAAGGTTTCGTCCCTCTTCCTCCATATGCTTTCTCCATCAAAACCTGGCCATGGACTACGACGTTTCCCCTTTCAACTATGGCCCAGGGTACACTGGTGCATTACTTCTACAGTTATAAGATGACGTCTCACAAACGCGTTATTGTCGTGGAAACCTGTATGGCATCATCATCAATGACGTCCGAAGACACGTCATCAACGTGTTAAGTGACGTCAATGACACGTCATCAATCTCTTAGGCAGCGCCCGGACTTCGCAAGGACGCGCTTCAACGCGCTACTATTCCAAGAGCGCTCCAATTTTGCAGACACGAACGCAGCCCTGACGAGAAACGATTGGCGCCAGTCGTCCATGCCCATTTGAGAGAGCATAGGAATGTAGGAGGGTGCGCTAGCTAAGCACAGTCTGATCTTGTTCCGCCATACTCCCTCAATACACAAGCATCCGGCGCCGATCGATTCCAAGCTGCAGCTGCATTTGCATGGCCTTGAAGCGCTGTTACAACTGTAGCGCGTCTACGCGCGTTATAGCACCTTGCTGCGGATGTCGCGCCCTACAGCGCGTTACAGTGCGTCGACGCGCGTCGTGCCAAACTCTGAACGCTGCCTTGCCAAGTAATATACCGAACCACATCCGTGAACTGCATCAACGCCCCAACAAGATGTAATTTTTTGCAAAAACTCACCTGAACGGCATCAGGAGCATCACCAATGTCTCCTTGTTTAAGAATATTTTCCTTGTCTGCAAGCCATCGTTCACACATTGACGCCTGATCACACCATTGTAGCCATTCCAGCGTTCGTTGAAGGGAGGCCTGAAAGTTTTAATGTCCTTGTCGCTGCTTTTACAGATTTGCCCCTACCCCTTCACGCAAATACTGCACGAGGTGGTACTTGGCAATGCACTAACCTTCTCAGCTTCCCACGTCTGTCTTAATTGATGTTCCGAATTCTGAACGCGTTTATGGGCGCGCTGCACTTCTGGTTTGTGCTCTGGTTGTTCGGCAATGAGACGTTGGCCTTCATCATGAAGAATGTGTAGTTCATCCTTAAACAAAATAAATCATAAAAATCACTTTTCTCACAACACTACACACTCCATGACGTCCCAAGCGTACCTGACGACCGTCAATTTCAGCCCGTCGTTCAGCGTGCTGGGCGATCAGCTGCTCGGCTTCAGCGCTCGTCTTTGGCTGCTGGTATGACGTCATCTTATTTCGAAGTTGCGCTGCCCATTGTCTG